ATAACTAATTATTTGAAAGTGATAATGCAATCAATGAGTTTTTTTTTGAAATTCAATTATGTAATAACTAAATGATAGAGATTATCTCTGTGAATTACTATATTCTGTATATTCTATTAAATCATTTATTGTTCTTGTAAAATTCAATGTATCATGCAGTTTAAACAGTTTACATACCGACATTAAATTGTTTACATAACAAAATTATTTCAAGGCATTAATAGCATTCCCTAGGTATAGAAAAACATGCAAATTAATATTTGCAAGAAAATGAAATCACATTTTACAAGATTTTTAACAAATTTCATGTAGTATTTTAAACCAGTCTAATTTTATTTGAGCTTATCAATATTTTATTTATCAATCTGTTTAAAGTACCTGTATGTTTGACTCTGTGTATAATCAATGATCCTTTTTGAGAAAAGCCTCTATTGCATATATGGCACTGAAATTTCAAATAAATATTTAACTTAGAACAAATATTGAAACCTTATCTATGATTGAAACATTGATTGTAGTAAGGAATACTTACCATTAATATTGTAATGTTTAATTATATATTATAATTTAATATTAAAATATTAATTCCACAGATATTTAAGTTAAACTAATTGTTATTAGTTACTAACAGTAACAAACATTGCCATTTTCAATTATATGCAACTATTTTTAAATGTCTAAATTTATTATCTTACTAAGCGTTTGTTTTATTGTTTATCCTTAAATATTTAAAATAAACTAAAAAACAATAAATAAATAAGTTTCGCATATTACAGTTAAAGTTACATGATGATATAAACCTATCAATTCTTAATTATGTTTTGATTATATAATTGACAACAGATACAATAATATTTTATTTTCTTATGACTTTTTAATTATCATTTCACATTGTTTTAATAATATTACTTAAAATAGTACAATTCTATGTAAAACATAGATTTTATGCATTTATGATTTTCAATTAATACTAACCTTATATGGTTTTTCACCAGTGTGACACCGAAAGTGCCTTTCTAATTGACTTGGTTTTTTAAAATACTTTTTGCAAATGCTACAATTTAATTTTTTCCCATGCTTTAGTTTTCCATGATTGGTCTTCTAAAAATAAATAACAAGATTTACATAAATAGCAATGAAAAAATAATTAATATTTATTGCAGGGAGATCTTGTAAACTACAGTATACTATTTTGAACAAACACATAAAATAACTTATTTTTACCTTAAAAATAGTGCTTTATGTGAAAATAGAAGTATTAAGTTTATTATTGCTGTTATTTCAAATCTTTTCATATCACTGATTGTCAACAAATTTAAAGAAATGTAAAAAGAGATCTGTATGAAACTAGATCATTCCTTAATATATTGACAAATTCTTATTCAAGATAAGATATATTATATTGATAGCCACTTTGAACTTTTTTATTAGGTTTAAGAATCCTAGGTTATTCAAAAAGCAAATATTTGTACATATGACTAATAATCATTTTTTTTGCAACTAAATTTCTGCATTTCTGTTATCATTGAACCGATGGTCTACTAAAGTCATGGCTAACATGTCTCTTTTTTGTCGTATTTCCGAAATTGCTAAATCTGATCCACAAAATATCATTGGGCACATGACAAAACAAATTGAATACATAAAATAAAGAACTCTTTATAAAATGTATTATTTCTAAATTAAATAAAAAATACTTACTTTACCATCAGTGTTTTCTGAATTAAGACTTAATAAATTTTCTTTTCCTGGATAAGATTTTTCTTCAACACATGCTTTTTTATGTTGCTCAAGCAAAGCCTGTAATAAATGTGATTATAAATTAAATTAGTTAAAGATAAATAATGTTACTGTCTAGCATGTAATATTTTATGCAATTTTTAGACTTCGGCAAAAAATGCTTCATATTTGATAATTTTAGAGCAAATTTTGGATAGAGGGGTTTGTATAGAAAATATAATGGTTTGAAAAGAAGCTTTGGAAGCGACAAATTCATGTTGTTATTTAATGCATAGAAACAAAATTAAGATACACCTTAGAATAAAACTTTGATTAGAAAATTAGATGTGAGACATCTTTATTAATGATAATAAATTATTTTAATGATTTGCAAATTAAATTGATATTTAAAAATTCTCTAACCTGAGTTTCAACAGAAACACCACAGTTAACGCAAAGTATATTGTCATCTACACAGTGTAGCATGAGATGAGCTCGAAGGCTTGCTTGTCTACTGAATATCTTTTGACACTCTGGACAGGAATGCAATTCTGTCTCATGAGTTGCCATATGCAGCCTGTAGTTACACTAATAATAAAAAATTTGAAATTTTAAATAGAATAAAAAAAACTAATTTAAAATTCTCTTATAATTATAGCAATGCATGATATAAAAAATATCAAATACATATATTTTACCATTAAATTAAATGAGGCATTGCACTTGGAACATTGATAAGTTTTTTCTTTTATATGCTGTTTTTCATGCTTGCGTAATTCTGCATATAGATCATATTCTTTATCACAAAAGGAGCACTGAAATGGACCCTAGATAAAAAAAAACAATCATAGTAGTTATTTAACATAGGTTTTCACTTTAATCTTAAAATTGCATTATAATTTCAATTTGCTCTCTGTTAGCAATCATTATTACGATTATGTATTTAATTATTTTCTTAACATTTTACTGATCATTTAACACAAAAAAAAGCAATAATTGAATGTATCTTCCAAATGATCCTACAAAGATTTTATGACCTATTAACTCTTGATTCAAGTGAATACTTGCCAATCGTTCAATGCGCGGTCTTACAGTGCCATCTTTTCTTGGTCTTCCTGGTCCTTTTTGTAGAATTTGTTTGTTATTTTGATATTTTTTCTCTAAAGGTGTTTCTTCTACTACTTTATGTACTCTGAAGAAAATATAATTTTATTAGTAATTTAATTACTAATAGAAGAAAAAATAATCATGATGAAATATCAGCCATATAAAAAAGTATTAACATATATGTTATCTGAACTAGGTCATCAAACCATTGAATTTCATTAGAAGGTTATATATATTATTTGAGTTGATTGTAATAAATGTAATAACTCTTCTAAAATAAGTTGTTACATTACGCACTACTTAAATAAAGTAGTTATGAAGATTATAGTCAATACATTGAAATCAACCACCTCGCATAGTTTAAAATAAAAATAAAGAATTTTCTTTATATATTTATATAAACAAGCATGCACATACTTAAAGGTATTGTGATTCTCCGGCAATAAAGTATTTTCCTCTGAGACAAATCCATTAAGTTCACTCGGAATTTGACATATTTCATTGCATGTTTCTTGTTCAAAACTTTTCTGTGTCTTATTACTGAAAATGAACAAACAAATATACACACACACATATATATATATATATATATATATATATATATATATGCATATGTTTGTCAAATGTACTCTAATGTATTACTTATTTATTCATTATTAACAGATTATCAGATACATTTTTCCTACTTTGCACAATGCATATTATGTTAGAATATTATTTAAAGTAAATGATATGATATACAAAATCATGCTAAAACCATTTTTAAACTGAGAACATCAAAGCATTAATACACAATACAGATCAAACAGATAATTTTTTGGGGTTTGCAGAATTCATTTAAGTCTCAGAAATATTTTCAGCCATTGCTGTTAGTATGATAGCATTTTATATACTCATATTTTTTCTCTTTTGTAAGCATCTTTAGTTCGATGCTTTTCACTTATTAAAATTAACTGCAGAAACAAACTGAATAATTTATAGATTTTTTTTAAATTGCAAAAGGCTATGTTTCATTAATGCTTTATAAAAATTATTAGCACTACTTATTGAATGTTTCATGGCATAATTAATGTAGACTTTGCATCATAATTTGCATGTCATTATTAAAATAATTTTACCTGTTTTTAGAAATAGTGAGCCCAATATTTTTTGGTACATCTTTTGCTTGAGGGTGTTCCACATCGCTACTAAACATATAACTCTCATTCCTTTGCAAATTATCCTCATCTTGCAAAATTATCTAGCCATGAATAATTTGTTTATGAAATGCTTAAATAATTAATTCAAATACATTTATCTACAAATACCTGATTGGGTTCAACAACATAATTACCATCAGGTAATTTTTTGAGCAATATGTTATGATAACCGATGTCATTGCCATTTGTGCCAGAAACTATTTGTATTGGTAAATTGATATACAAAATATCATTTTCGTCTTCTGTGAAGTATATATTTTATTTTGATTATTTATTTTACAAAAAAAACAAAGGCTAAAATAATATTTTACAATTTCATAATATGAAACAGAAACAAACAGAGATTTGTGATGTGTCATATGTTATTATTAAAAAGTATTCGAAATTCAGAAATAACAAATCTAGTTATAAATTTAAGAAAAATATAAATATATATCCATGGTTAAAATTCAAAACTGTCAACTTGTAACAACTAAAATGTTTCACTATAAAATTTATATGTATAAATATATGAATACCTTTTGGCATAATAATATGAACCCTAACAGATATTTATTTTAAAACAAACATTGGATACATTAGAATCCTTTTAAGAATTGAAAAGAAAATGTCAAGAAACATTGTAAATTGTAAGACATTAGAATGCATTAGGCATTAGAACATATACACCTAGACATATACATTGGAACATTAGCCTTGAAGTTGGTACTAATTCTTAAAAACGGCAACGAGCCGGCAACAGTGCGAACGTGAAGTATGCTTATGCTTATTAATCTATGAAGTATGCCATCTATATCTACGTATCTATGGATTTTGCTCCCTGCTTAACGTCACAAATAATGGCATCCTAAACAATATAATAATATAATAATAATGAATGGCATTTCTCGCTAACAGATATTTTAATATAGCGATTTGAATAGTTTTAATTTATTTGAATATTGTTCAGAGTGATACTTTTTATATTTGCTGTAATAAAAATGATTATTATGATAACTTATATTATGAAAGGAAAATATATTTAAACTTTTAATTGATTACCCAAGAGGATATTGATTTGTATATATCTACTTGAATATGAATTTGAACAGTTAACATTATCTTCAAATTTTTAATATAATTTAAAATTATTGGTTACTAGCAAAAACGTCAAGATGTCTAATTACGTGTTGAAAGTCAAATCAAAAGAAGGACAGCATATTTTAAGAGATCTCAAATCTTCCATGACTCTGGGCGATCTTTTACTGAAACTTTCATGTTGTACATCGATATCTAAACACAATTTGCAAATTTTATCGGGTTTTCCGCCTAAAGCATTAGATTTATCTGATGAGAGTAAGACTTTAAAGGAGAGTGATTTGAATTCAGGAGATACTGTTATTGTTGTAAAAAATATTGAGAGTGTTAGTGAATGTTCAATTGATCAATATAAATCTGTTCCTGGTGTGCTGATGAAAAAAGTGGTGCCTGCTGATAATTCTTGTCTTTTTACTAGCATTGGTTTGTATTGCTTTTATTTTTAGCACAGTTATGTACTTAATTTATTTTTAATGAATTTTAATTATGTAGTTTTAATTAATTTTCAATACATATATAATGGTTTATTATAATTTATTTTCCAAAATGAGATAAAACAATTCTTCGCTGGATTTCTAATTCGCTTTAATTGATTGCTATTATTTTGATTAATTTAATAGCGTGTGGCAATTTTAAATTGCAAATCGCTTCAGGCTGACACAAATTGTGCTTATAGTTTATATATTTTATTTAGACTTAATTCTTTAAGTTTTACTGTGATAATTAAATCCTGACCTATGATTTTAATCTAATATTTTAATTCAGTGTCAATTGTTACACATTGACTTACATATAATACAGTCTGCTGTTTTATCTGTGCCTGTTGTTGATTTGCATTGTCTGTTACCTTAATAGTTGTACGTATTTTGTATGCGAACATGTGGACTCAACAAATATTGTTCTGTGGAATACTAGATCAATTTTTTTTTAATCGATTATAAGTGGTTGGAAGTCTTTATATGAAAAATATACTATCCATTCAGTTATAACTATATTTGTTTTTATGAGGAATGTCATATATTACAAATTAACTTGTGATAGATAAAAACTTAAATTTGCTCTTATATATATATACAAGAACAAATGTGATAGGTAGCCAATCCATTTCAATATTGGATATTCTTGACTTAATTCACCAATTGATTGTCATTGACTTATTATACTTTTTTGTGAGTGACAAGTTATTTGAAAATGGTAAATATTTGAATGGAATAATTGAATCAAGAGATACCATTTGAGAAGAATATTTTTTTCTTCAAATATCCTATTTCAAACGGTAGGTTCAATAATATTGCACCTGATTTTTTTCAGAAATAATTGCATGCCAGTGCATAACTTTGATACATTCAAGTTCTGAAGCAAAATGATTATTCAACCAATTTTTAATTGCAAGTAATATGATGGCTTTCCAGATATATCCAGTGAATTTTAAGAATTCAATAGAATAGTAAACAAAATCTGCGACTTCGACAATATGGTCGATTGATTTGAACGATATTAGATTGCCAGGTAATGACTATTATATCTTGAAAAGTATATTTCATAACATGCTATCTAATGTTTGTCTATACAATAGCTTGTTTACATAGCTATCTATAATTTATATAATTGGCTTGTAAACCTGGAAATGTACCTTCAATCAAAGCATCTTTATTAGTTACAATTATAGATAAGGAAGTCTCCAATGTCACGAAAATTGTATTGAAATCAGGTTCAAGCATTTAAATTGTTCTATTGTTACAAGGCATGATTTGCTGATTTTCGTAAATTTTGTAAATACCGCATCTCTAAATTCTTCTGAAGATACACTCAAATCTAAGTTATGTCAAAAAATATAAATAAAAAACTTTTCTTATGTGATTTTCACCTATTTATTATATATCTTAATTATTCCTGATCAAACTAATTATTTAATTTGAATATTGATATAGTATTTAAAAGAAGCACTGCATCAGTTAGCAGTTAGCATTCTGCATATTAAATTATAAGAGAAATTCGAAAATGAATTATTAGCATCATTATACTTATAATTTTTATTTAGAAAATCAATTGAGTGTAACAAAAAATAATTTTTATAATGAAAATGCTCAATTTTCTATTATTATATATTTTTCAATACTCAATACTGAGATATTTATATACTCATTTATTTTTATCATACCATTTTGATAAGATTTATGAATAAAATATCATGAATCCAATTTTTAACTTCCAAAAATCAAAATCATATTACGGAAATACTTATTGTCATGAAACTTTTTAAATGTCCTGTTTTTTTATGGTCATTGGACACTATTTTTATATATTTGTGTATTCTCATCAAACTCTTATTTTTAGTGATATTATAAAATTGTGTCTTATAGCAAAGACAATTTTAATGCATAATATGAAGCTCATTTGGCTTCCTTGAGAGTCGCTGGCTATATCACTTCAAGTTTACACTTCTTCATTCTCATTAGCATTCGAAAAAAGAAATGTGTTTGTTCATTTCAATGCACATATGAGGCAATTGTTTGTGATTGTTTTTTTTTTATTGGAAATTCATAAACGCCTATATGAAAAGATGTGGTATTATGAATGTTTGTTATTAAATTCTTTGTATTGTTGTTAAAATGCATTGTGTAGTTGCTCTCACGTACAAACAAGTTGTGTATTTCATTTAGCATTTTATTTCATTTATATATATATATATATATATATATATATATATATACTAGCTGACCCAGCAAACATTGTTTTTCCATAAAAAATATGTCTAGTATGAAAATAACTAATTGATTGCAAATTGGCATGTAAGTGAAAGGGGCAGCTAACAAAAAACATATGAATAGTTTATCAACCATCTGCCTGAGATATGAAAATAAAAAAAAAACAAAATGAAAAACATTTCTTTATTTATTTACTATTAACAAAACAAACTAGGTACGTTCCATCTTCAGAACAATTGTCAAGAAACATGATCTTGATAAGATTTAAGCAAACAATATGTTTAAGAAAAAAAGATGATGGATTTTTTATATATAAAATGAATAAAATTGTGGAAAAAATGATGTACAGAAATATGACAATATAATCAAAATGAAAATGATAAAAATAAATGAGTCGATTATATAACAAAATATTAAAAATGTTAAAAAATTTAGAAAGTTTTAAGAAAAAGTTACTGAAAAAAAAATCTGAATTAATTACTACATGTATGATTGTTTTTTCACTAACACTTTTCACTAAAAAAGTTTTTAACAAATTCTATAAATTCTTTTCAGACGAAGAAGCAAATTTTGTAATTCAAAATTTCTTTAAATTATGTCTTTTTTGAGTTTGTTATGTGAGACAAATAGTATTATTCTCTCGATGTTATGAGACGAACTATTGGTAGCAAACTGATGGTCCTGAAGATGGAACCTACCTAGTTCCGAAACGCCGACAATAAATAAATAAAGAAATGTTTTTTTAAAAAAACTGTTTTGTTTTATATTACTTTTTGGATTCTTTGTTTGAACCTCTACAAAATCTTTACAAATCCAAGACTCTGCCATCTAATATATAATATATATATATCTTATATATTCGTAATAATTTTGCAGCCCAATCGTCGAATTAAAAAAAGATTAAATAACAAAATTCTTTATTGCATTAAACGTTTTGACACTTGATGTGTGTCATCATTCAGTAATCTAAAAAACATATAACATAAATACAAAGTTGATGATAAATATAAATATATAAAAAGGAGAAAATTATACAATCCAAACCACCAGGAAATGAAACAGAAAAAATTAATTATGATGCAAAATTGATTGAACATTAAATTTGTGTAAAATAATAAAATACTATTATATTAAGAAACGAGAAATTGAAGGAGCACACATTGCCCTCCTATATTTCATGTTATTAATAGCGGTGCATTATGGACACTGATCAAGGTTACAACGCAAGTGTAGCCACGCACGTGTAATGAAGGAGTGGGAGCGGGTTGTGAGAAACGAAAGGGGAAAGAGAAACAGAATTGTTAGTTTCTTATTTTTTTATTTTGCACAAATTTAGTGTTCAATCAATTTTACATCATAATTATTTTTTTCTGTTGTTTTTCCTGGTTTGGTATGTATAATTTTTTCCTTTTTATATATTTATATTTATCATCAACTTTGTATTTATGTTATGTTTTTTAGATTACTGAATGATGACACACATCAAGTGTCGAAACGTTTAATGAAATAAATAATTTTGGTATTTAATCTTTTTTTAATTCAACGATTGGGCTGCAAAAATATTACAAACATGTATCAACGTTGACAAAACTCTCATCATATCTTATATATATATATATATATATATATATATATATATATATATATATATATATATATATATGCGTGTGTGAGAGAGATTAAGTTTATTTTAAGTTTGCACACAAGAAAGCTATAAAGTGATGAATAGATTTTCTTAATAATTTCTCATATAAACATCTCTAACCACATGATCAATTAAAAAATTGAATTTGGAATTACGTTTCCATTGGGCAACGTATATAGAGTCCACTAGATATGTGTAATTTAAATTTATTTAATTTCAGTTTTTTAATTTTTTCCTTATTGAAGCAAAACAAAATTTAATTTTTAGAAAGTGTTTCAATAGTGTTTCGGCACCCATTAACCCCCTCCAAAAAATAAATGCATTAGATGAATTCGGGGCATAAATTGTTAAATTATTTTAACAGGTTACGTAGTTAATGGAAAGATTGATCTAAGTATTGGGAATTATCTGCGACAAATTATTGTGCAGCATGTTTCTGCCGATCCCAACACATACTCAACAGCTCTGTTAGGTAAACCAAATAAGGAATACTGTCAATGGATTTCGAGACCCGAATCTTGGGGCGGCGCTATTGAAGTGTCCATATTGAGTGAATTCTATGGAATCGAAATTGCGGTAGTTGATACTCAAAATGCGATAATAAACAGATTTGGCGAAGACAAAAAATACAATTCTCGCGTATTTTTAATATTTGATGGGATACACTACGATCCCTTGTACATGGAATTGAATGAGGCATGTTTTCTGTATGACATAGATATGTGTTGATTTTTCGGTATTTATTAATTGTAATTTTAGGACACATTACCTCAAACCATATTCCCTGCACAAGATTTGTCGATTCTGCAATTAGCGCAAGAGCTAGCTGAAGAAGCAAAAATATCGAAACAATTTACTGATGTGAATAAATTTAATTTAAAATGTTTACAGTGTGACGCACTTCTAACAGGACAAATTCAGGCACAATCACATGCTAAAGAAACTGGACACACCAGTTTTGGAGAAATTTTTTAATGAGTTTATTTATTTAGTGTAATGTCTTATTTAATATACAGTGCTACAAATATTGTATTTTTCTAGAAATAAAATTGTTGATATGAAATGGTTGTTTTTCCATGTTATCAATGTTCAACAGTGCGGTTGGTCGAGGTGGAAAAATAATATCTTGATTTATATATACTAATATATACACATATACATTATATATATATATATATATATATATATATATATAATAGGTTGCGGAAAAAGAAATCCATTATTTTTCGGTAGATGGCTGTAGTGATCGATATCTCGTAAATTATCGATCAAACAATTTCAAATTTATGCTCGTTGTCAAGGTAACAGTTCGCACTAAAATAATTCGTTTGCAGTTTTTTGTTTTGTCCATTTAGTTCTGAGTTACACGGCGTTAAAGATGGAAGTCAACAAAGAGAAAATTCGGTACAATTTACAGTTTTTCTTTGATAAGGGCGAAAATGCAAGTCAGGCGGCTGAAAATGTGCTTCTCAGCTAATTACGCGCAATTTTGGTTTCGTCGATTCCGTTCGGGTATTTTTGACGTTAAGGATGCCCCTCGCACAGGCAGGCCCGTCGTCGAAATTGTCGACAAAGTCACTGAAATCATCGTCATCAGACATCTATTGTCAACAACTGGACCGTATGAAGCGAGCAATTGACCAGAAACGGCCAGAATTGGCCAACAGAAGAGGTGTCGTGTTCCATCAGGACAACGCCAGGCCACACACTTCTATAGTGACACTCCAGGAGCTTGGTTGGGAAACTCCAGGAGCTTGGTTGGGAAGTTTTGATGCATCCACCATACAGTCCGGACCTCGCACCAAGCGATTACCATCTTTTTCTTGCATTGCAAAACTTTTTTAGTGATAAGAAATTGGCATCAAGGGAAGAGTGTGAAAATCAATTGCTGGAGTTTTTCGCTAATAAGGACCAAGACTTTTATGAGAGAGGCATAATGAAGCTACCATTAAAATGGCAACAAATTATAGAACAAAATGGTGCATATTTGACCTAAATCGGACAATGCAAAACATGTTAAACAAAGTCTTGAAGTTCACGTAAAAATAATGGATTTCTTTTTCCCCAACCTAATATATATATATATATATATATATATATATATATATATAATAAATAGAAAACAGAAAATACATAGAAAATAGAAAAAATTACATAGAAAATAGAAAAAAATGATGTATCTGTATATATATATATTATATATATATATATATATATATATATATATTATCAATAATACTAAAGCGTGAAATTATTATGTAAAACATTTTTGATGTTTTATTGATTTCAATAATTTATATAAGTTATTTGAGAAATGTTCATACTAGTTTAGATTTAGTTAATATGATTTCTAGAATACTTACAGCTTATATCTAAGTTAAAATATTTATTATTATAATAATAAATATTCACAAAATTAGGTATATATTGATCGAGTCTTTTTTATTATTGGAATATAAATGAATTATTGATTGTTTAATTTATTAGAATATTTCTACTAAAAAAACCGTATGTAATATATTGAAACCGATTAAACTCCTGGTTAATGTACGTTGTTTTGACATTGCGCTTCTTTAAAATTTTCGTCAACTTCGGCGAGTTGTTTAAACATGTTTTTAGCCAGCAAATGTTTAAGTTTAACATATGCGATGAAGCTATGGTCGTAAGCCTTTTCTAAATCTGTTATTTTCATATGTGCGCATGTTTCTTCTCTTGTCAATATAATGCAGTTCCACGGCGACCAGTTTCTCCTTCGGTCCCATTTAGGAGCCTGAAGCTTTTCTGTTTTAGTGCTTAACGCCGATTGACCGTGCCAAATTGTATCAACCAGCTTTTGCATATCCACTACATTCATAATGAAGATTACGGACCGCAAAGAGTTGTTTTTTTGCTCCTCGCATCGCACTTCCTGCAACATTTTAGCAAATGGACCGTAATTTTTTTGCTGGGTTTGCACCATGGAAATGCACGAAGCGCATGCATTTAAATACTTTGTACATGAATGCAATGATATCATTTTAGCTGGTCTTATACGAGAACAGTATTTACATATATGATGATCTTTTGTTGACAAACAATTCGAATCAGATTCTAAACATTTAAAAGTATTCGTACTTTTCATATACTTCATCAATAATTGTTTTAATCGCTTGCGCAAAATCTGAATATCTTTCGCATTAATTTGACGTATTAACAATTCACTTTCTCGATCAATTAATTCAATTATATCAATCGATATATTTGTTGGATTTTCTTCTAGGGTTGAACGCAAGGACATAAGAGTTTCTAATCGCGATTCCACTGGTTCTTCTTTGCTAATGCTATTATAAATTATCGATAAACGTCGGGCATATTGAGTTTTTAAAGTGTCCATTTCAATTTTTAGTCCTTTATAACCAGTCCAAGTAACAGGTTTTTGTGATAAAGTCAATATTTTATAGTCCTTCAATTTGTTATTTTCTTCTATGGAGTCTTTCTTTCGCGCTTGTACAACTTGCAGCATTTTTATTTCTTTTTCAAGCAGCATATTTAGCTCGGCATGCTTTGGTGCCCCAGAGTACATCTTTTGAATTGATTCTGTTTCTTGCTGGTGCCAATTTGCAATAACCGATTGTAACATTAATAAATCGTTTTTATTACGTGGATATGTCTGTACGACAATATCATGCATGCGTTCCTTACGCAAATCATTTTTAATTTGCATATCCATCTTTTGATCAATACAAGATAACTCTCTGTATTTTGCAGATGTTTCATTTATCAATTTTAACCATATATATGCTTTAATATTTTTTTGCAACAAGGCAATTTTGTTCCAACTATTTTTCTTGCGTTCTAATTCTTCATACGATTTATATTTTCCTGGAGTTAATATCTTGTTTGTTACTGATGGTATACAAATATGCTCGCTTTGCATTTGCGTTGAATTCGTACAAGAAGTCTGTTGATTTACATCAATACTAGTTATTGTCTGACAATCTCTCGATTGTAACAGATATGGAGATATTTTTGAAGCTGGCGGTCCAGTTTGAGTGAATGCATGATGATATTCTATATTATTTATTTTATTTTTATAACCTCCAGTAAATGGTTTAATAATACGCTTGTCTTCTATTTCAACTATCAAATCATATGGATCGCAATGGTCTGCTTCGCAATGTACTGTAATAATATCGGCTATTGCCATGTCTTTATACAAATCATCTACTTTGAATTCAGCATTATTAGAATTTGTGAGACCCAATGTTAGTATTCCAAAAGCATCGATGTTAAGATGCTGAAGTTTAACATCAAATGGCACCTCTTCACCTTCATGTGTTATTACTATTGAATCTCGTGGCATATTGAATATATTGCTTAAGCTGTTGATAACCTAAAAAGATAAAAAAAGTCATTGTAGTTTATAGACAGGAATAAAAGAGATCGGAATGCAAAATAGACGTTTTATATTTCAAAATTTCTATTTAATCAAATTTAATGTCTAATAAAGATTTGAAATTTAAATTATTGGAGATATCAATAAGAATAATAAATTTATTTTCAGTTAACCATGTGGTTTTAATGTTTGTCTATCTGTTGTCCAAGGGCATAGTCAGAAGATGCAGCTATTAGCCTCGTGGCTACCCGCATTCGATAAATGATCTTAATTTTAAATTAAATTTATCATTTGATTATGTAATAAACAAAATATCAAACCTACTTCTTGTATTTGATTTGAAGTTCAACTTAGGAAAAATATTAATTTTTGAACTGATAACATTTTTCAAATTTATGAGTAAAATAAATCGTAAAATGGGAGAGAACCCCCCTCGCACTAAAATGTCCAGATTTTGAAGTTGAATCAATCAATAGCTCTTTGGCAGAGCACATGGCATTATATATGTAGTTTGCAATTTATTAATTAGTTTGTTTAATATATTAACCCTTCTTTGCATGGCGATGGAAATTTCAATCATAATATTTAGTCAACAAAAAAATACTAAAAACCCTTGTACTGTAAATTTGTTGTTGCTGGCAACATTTTAAGCGACTATTGCGTACAACAAAATGCAATTTTAAAAAAAATATCAAACGTCACTGTTAATTACCAGGACTAGAACTTGTCATTTCACTGTTTGTTGTGACTGGAAAAAAGGAGCGAGTTCTTAGTTTGTTATAAGGAAGTAAACGAAGATAAAAAATACAGTAAAAGTGAAAATGAGTGAGAAAAGGGTTTGTTTCCATGTTTTTGTTGTTTTATGTACAATTTATATCAAAACACTGTGAATAAAGTTCTCAAAACTATGCGATGGAAATTTACATCACTATGCAGTAGTTACACTTGTAATGTATGGCAAAGATTTTTTTGTCAATGTTTTTTTTGTGTTGTTTTTTGAAGAAACAGATTATGATTTGTATAAGTTCTTTGGTATATTATTCTACATGTCAGTAATCAAAATTCCTAGCACAAGATCATACTGGTCGCCAAAGTTCGAACAATGAACATATGAGAGAAGTAGATCTCATTCTAATGGATAGCTTTTTGGGCAGAAATCATATAACAAAGAGGTCTAAAAAGTGGTATTTGCATATTTTTTTTATCTATTTGATCGAGCTATTTTAAACTCTTGGAATGTTTATAAAAAATGCTCAAGAAAGAGATGAACGTAAAAAGAGACTGCTTACAATGGGTCAATTCAGTAAATGTGGTATCAATTTGTGCTTAAATAAAAATAATGATTGTGTTTTTTTAATTATTATAAAAAGTAAAAAGGATTGAGTAAACAATATATTTTATATAGTTCTGAGCTAGATATGTGTTAATGCATGATGATGTAAATTTCCATCATATTGTTTTTTACATAATACATACTTCTATTTACATTAGGATTTTTTTAAATATTTTTCCTTTAATCTAGAGCATTAATTACATCACCCTGATTTATTTTTATTAAAACAGAAAAAATCATGCAAAGAAGGGTTAAAACCCTTTGTTTAGCTATATTCTAACTAAAGTAATGGATTTTAAAAATATCAAAAACATTTTAAAGAATTTTAATTTCAATCTCAATTTACCTCTGTTATTTGCAAATTAACATGGTAACTATTAGTAAAAACTCTATTTTTTGGAGGGATTATGAATTTGACCGTTATCATATCATCGTGACCTTCTTCATCTTTTCGCATACCATCTTCATCTTTATAACATTCAAAAGCTTTTGTCGTATTCGTCGGATTGTCCTCTGATTCATTTTCGTTTTCACTGTGCATATTGTTGCGTGAACTTGATTCATTCATCGATTCACTGCTATAAAAAATTAACTTATGTATTAAACACACACAAAAAATAAAAAATAATAATTAATTAATTAATACGTTTGATACAGTAACAAAATAATTTATGAAGTGTTCAATTTTTTCCATCATTATTTATTTTAATTCATAAATATCAAGAATAGTATTTAAGAATAATATAAATTAGTGAAGTAAAAATATTTCACAAGAACTTCGGTAAGATTGTACTTTTTAAAGCAACAAATTACCTTTTCCTGGTAACTGGTAAGAAATTTCGCACCGATTTAAATTTAAATTGTAATGTCTCCGTTAAATTTTATGAGCAAAGTAAATAATGAGTTTTGCATTGAAAAAAAAATGAATCGAACGATTATACGAATTTTATCCTCACTCACTTTGCTACTCTCGTGTTAGACGTCTTGTATTAAACTTAATGACTAAAAATGATAAAAACTATTACCCATATTACCATGCACACTTAATGATTTTAGAAGGTATAAATCGGTTTATATTATCAACATAATAAGTTTAATTTAGATTTTTGAATCTCGATAATCAGTATATAATAGCAAGATATTGACAATGTGACTCTAAAAATCAAGTCACTTGATTATACAACTCAGTTGCTATGGCTACAAAATTGATAAAATATGTTATTCATGTACATATATCATAATAACCTTTGATTTATTCATTGTACCATAAGAAATTCATGTACACCGTAACAAATCCTTTTATTTATTCATTCATACGAATATAATATATAAATACAAGAGATTATTATGAATAACAGCATCTGAAAACTTTTGCACTATTTTAAAGCAGAACTAAATCCATCTGATTCCTATTTTCTTATTTCTGCTCTTAAACTAAAAAAAAATAATATTAATATTTTCAAAAGTTTTGATTTGAAACTACTAAATCATTAAATGTTGAACTTTTTGTCTTTTAACTTTCCGCAGGGTAAGTTATTGTAATCGCTCAAAAAACGAAATTGAAAATCGCGTTTTGAAGGTTTCTGAACATTTTTGAATACCCCCGAAAAATTGGACGTGTGAGTGCGTGTATGCATGTACATATGTATGGATACAATTTTTCGTCAACGGTTCAAAAAACATTCGATTTCTACTAATAGGGAATGTTCTGATTATTTTTTGGCAAAAGTCGATCCAGCCGTTTTGGAGTTACGGAGCAAAGAGTGTAAAAAATAGAAATCGAGTTTTGAGAGGACGGAGCATCCGACTTGAATGATCCAAAAAACATTCAGTTCTTAATGATGGGGAGAAGTGGCGATTAGTATTTTTGGCAAATGCAGGTCCAGCCGTTTCGGAGATACGGAGCTAAATTGCATAAAATTGCAGTTTTTGAAAAAAATAAGCATCCGATTTGAATGATTCAAAAAACTTTCTGCTTGTATTGAAACGAATGAAATTTTTTTGAATATCGAAAATATTTCAAATTTCCGTTTTGGAGTTACGGAGCAGAGTGTAAAAAATAGAAATCGAGTTTTTGAGAGGACGGAGCATCCGACTTGAATGATCCAAAAAACATTCAATTCTTAATGATGGGGAGAAGTGGCGATTAGTATTTTTGGCAAATGCAGGTCCAGCCGTTTCGGAGATACGGAGCTAAATGTGCATAAAATTGCAGTTTTTGAAGAAATTAATAATTGCTTGAAACGAATGTTTTTGAAAAAAAAATTTTTTTTTTGGATATCGAAAATATTTCAAATTTCAAAATTTTAATTTGGCACGGGAAGTTTCAGCAATATGCCTCAAGGCACGATGCCATACACTAAGAGTTTGATTTTTTGTTCATCAACCAATTAATTGATATCACAGAAATATTGAAGTTTATGTATGTATTTTTGAATATAACCGATCAGGATGATTTTAAGAACTTTCGATTCGCGTTGATCATGTAAAATGTTTTTCATAGAAATAATAATAAGTAAGCAATTATCTTGAACTGATCTTACCATATAATGCAAAACCAATCACGAATCAAAATTGATTCGATTCATGTTTTTTCCCAAACATTTTTGGGAGAAATTCGATGATGGAACGTAAATAGATCCAAAACGTCTTCATTTAACATATACAAAAAATTTAATGTTCAGAAGAGAGACATAAATCATATTATGATTTTCGAACTGTTAACAAGAAGTCCAGTTTTTTCTTCAATTTTTTTTATTCATTTAAATTTTTTAAACTATTTTATTCGAAGTTTCGAGGATATGCATGTGTCCTTCTTCAGGAACTTAATCACAATCGACAAGCATTAAAACATCTCTATAATTTGTTCCTGCAAATGAAACATTCGAAGATAATATTTCAATTATAATATCGACCATAAATGTAAAAACGTTTCTGTCAATGTTGGTGTTTTTGTTTCTGCTAATATTATTTATATTGCCTTCGAACATTATCGCATGGGTTACCATGCGCTATATATATTGTTGGTTTATATATATATATATATATATATATATATATATATATATGATATTTAGTGTAAGACAGTATGATCTGTTTGTTTACACAAAATATCGCGTTCTATTAAAATGGCACCTAATACTTGCGACTTCACTATATAGTAATAATTTACAAAAACAAGACTAGCCAGATAATGCTTGAGATATTGAAGTTGTGTTTTTAATTTGCTCATTGTCAGTGTTAACTATTCTTAATTTATTAATAACGTATTAATAATGTGCACAGAGCGCACTAAATTATTAGCTGCTTGGGAGTTCAAACAGTCACAGCAGGATTTGAGGTTGAGAAAAATATTTTTATGTATATTTTATTTAAAGCGACATGAGTAATAAAAATAACTATTTCAATTCAGAAAATCATTTGCTTCACTAATATATAAATGTAATTAAATTATTGATAAAAAAGTGAACAGAAAATTGTATTATAGTCAAATTAGTCAGTTTATAAGGTAATTATGAAGTTTATTCTCATGTTACTAAATAGCTAGCAAATCTGCAATGCTCTATTGGTTAATTAGTAAATATAATTCAATCTATTGTACTATAAAATGGCAGGATTCCAGATAAAAGTTGCTGCGTATATCTTTAAATAGTTATATAAATGCAGAAGTTGCAAACCAAACTTGCGTGAGTCTTTTCTTGGTTTACTAATTAGGAATTAGCTAGGAACTGTCACTGAATACTTCACACATTTTATATAAATTGTCTCATTGTTGGAGGAAATTATTAATTTGCTTCGGACATTTTGATACTTTTTCGCATTCATTGAAGTTTCTCGAAATAATATTCATTTATTATCGAGATTATATCGGATTTCGAGTGTAAGATCGCCAGGGGTTAAAATTAAAATTTTATGAAATCAGATAAATGTGAATAGGATTACAAAATTAATTTAAATACTCACAATTCGGTAAACTTTCTGATTAAAAAATAAATGTATTAAGAAATGCAGTATGTAAAATCAGAATAAAAAATGTTTAATGTTTTGAATAAATATTTGGCTATTTTAATTATTATAAATTTACAACCTAAAATTGGTAACGAATATCTTTTTTCGTTAAAAATGACCGATCAATAAGCATAATTAATTAAGCACATTACTAAAATCTCTTAACTTTTACCTCCGGAGTAAGTGCTGAATCATCGTTTTTCGGGTTCCCTAGTAGATGAGTTATAACAAAATCCGTTATTAACGCTATTATTAACAATTATATTTAGCGCAATTCTTAGCCATTTTTTTTCTTTTAGTCTTGAAAAAAGCGAGGATAATTATAATTCTTGTACTTGAAAATATCAATATTTAAAAAAAAAATAGTAATAATTTAATTAATCAGAATTATTTTGTATAATTTTAGTGCATTGGACGAAGATTGGCTTTCTACTTTATCACTTGATGACCTACGACCGTACAGAATTGATAGATTTTGGCGGCAAACTCGTATATTGGTCGCATTTTTATTATGCTGCTTGTTTGGCGCTCTTTTAACAGCAGCATGCATAAGGGTCACCATGACCGAATTGACCTGCTTATCGAAATATTTAAATTCTACGCAACATTCATTCGGACCAAGTTCATCTAATGCAAATTTAACAAAGATCATAAGTAATTTATATGTTATATGAACAATAATAAAATACATAAAAATAATTTAGTGATTTTACATACTAGTACAGAATAGTATAGAACTAGTACAAAATACAATACATATATATATATAAATATATATATATATATGTATATATACATACATATATTACTACATAGATGTAATATTTCTTTGGATGGTGATAAATATGTTGTTTAAACAAAATACTTCTCAACAGGCATCCACTCAGATAATAAATTAGAAAGAAAATTAAAATATGTTCTTTAAAAAAAATTTAATAGATCCATACGTTTCGAGTTACAATTTGACTCTTCCTCATTGGAACAAAACTACAAAAAAATTACGAAAAAAATAAGTAGTACTATTATAAAATAAGTAACAAAAATATTACTATAGTTATAATATTAAGTAATAAAATAAATAGCAAAATTATTTTATAATATTTTGTTTAATCAACATATATATTATATATAGAATTCTACAAAGCATTCGTTTTTGACCTTAAACATAAATGAACTGTATTTATAGCATACCAATTTCGAAACTATTTTACTTCCGGGCTTTTTGGAACATTCTCTCCTTATCAAAAAAATGGCCATTATGCTACAACTTTTTTTCCAGATATTCTACAGATATTGTATTTTAGTTTTTTTGTTTTTTAATTGTTTATATATCTCATTTGAAGTTGGACAACTTTTTGACATTTTTTTCTCTATCAATAATATTTATTCATCGTCGGGGACATCCCCATCGGACTCGGAATCTAATAAGAAATCATCAAACCTAACACTGCTAGTGCTTCTAATTATAATTTATCTGTTTTGGGTATCTAACGTATTATGTGTTGACAAAAGAAAGCTGAAGCTATTGTGAATAGACTTTATTATGCACAATTGTGTATAAGATCAACCAAAATCTGCCATGATGGCCTACTCAAAATTATAAAACTGTATCATAAAAAACGATAACAAACTTAAAATTGAAATACAAACAAATATATGTTGTTTTTGATCCGTTTCGTAATTATTATGAAAGGTACAAATAATATCACTTCGAGCTTGCCATTTCAGGTTGAAGAACCTGGCAAGGTTATGAAATTGAGATTCGTAAGTTATATTATTATGAAAAAAGTCATAATTATTTGAGAAATTACAATAAACTAAAATGTAACTTGAAAGTTACATGGGCCCATAAAGGATTAATATTAATATTTTGTAGAAACGATTTACGTTTAAACGATTAATTTATTTTTTCAGTTTGCGCTTTTGCTTTTTGAATTATCGAAGGATGGCGAGGATGTACAAGCCGTACAAGCGTAACACATCATAAATATGTATTGTTTTTAAACAGAAAATTTTGATAAAGAATAAATAAGTTCATGAGCTAAGGGTTTTACAATAATATTATATATATTGTATTGTATTTATAGGTATATTTTTATAAGTAGCTTCCTGAGCTCCAAAAGTTTGTGGATAAAAATCATCCCGAATAATTTGCAACAGTTCGAGCATGAGAGTTGCTCAACGAAACATGCCTCAACTCATTCACGCAATATCACGAATGGACGAGAAAAACAATAATTAACTTCACGCAGGGTAAGTTATAGTAATCGCAAAAAAAATCGAAAATAATTTTTTTTTATATCTTTATGTTTCAGAGGTTTCTGAACATTTTGGCATACGTTATTGTTAGAAAAAATGGATGTATATGTGTGTGTATGCGGATACAAATTTTCGTCGACGATTTCGGGAACACCGATCAATAGATTTGAATAATTCAAAAAACATTCGATTTGTATTGATAAGGGGGGGACGTGCTGATTAGTTTTTGGCGAAGGCAGGTCTAGCCGTTCCGAAGATACGGAGCAGAAAGTGCCAAAAACGGTAACTCAGTTTTTAAGAGAACGGAGCGTCCGATTTTAATAATTCAAAAAACAATTTAATTGTATTGACAAGATGAAGAACTGATTGAATTTTTGGAAAGGCAGATGCAGCGGTTATGGACTCTCAATAAAAATAAGTTAAAAAAATGTCATTTGGCGGTCATAATTATGACCGCCAAATGACATTTTTTTAAACTTATTAATTATTAATAAACATTTAAATGTTTATTGTACATATATACATCAAATTATCAGATATTTTATAGAGATTTTAACGATGTGCACACATTTTGTGTAATTTTTGTTGGGTTCCGTACAAAGATTTTTAATTACGGTACAGGAGGTTCCGGCAATTTGCAATAAGGCACGATGCCATGCATTCCACTAGTAAAGTTATTAATTAGTAAATTTATTTTGAAAAGACAAAAAAACTTTAATAAAAACCACAGAGCTTTGGGAATTAATGGCATTTCAATGTATTTATTTAAAAAAATTGCTTGTTACGGAAACTCGTATTTCGTCAACGCACCACTCACTGTACCTTATGCTTATTAACTTCCCGTAGGGTAAGTTATTGTAATGGACCGAAAATCGGAATTGAAAATTTTTACATTTCTCGACGTTTTGAAGGTTTCTGAACATTTTGGCATACCTCAGAAAAAATGGATGTGTGTGTGTGTGTATGTATGTATGTATGGATACAAATTTCGAGTCACGTTTTCGGGCGTACGGATCAACCGATTTGAATGGTTCAAAGAACATTCGATTTCTATTGATAGGGAAAAGAGCTGATTAGTTTTTGGCGAAGGCAGGTCCAGCCGTTTCGGAGATACGGAGCAACGAGTGCAGAAAATAGAAATCGACTTTTTGAGAGAACGGAGTATCCGATTTGAATGATCTAAAAAACATTCAATTAGTAATGATTGGGAGAAGTGTTTATTAGTTTTTGGCAAAGGCAGGCCCAGCCACTTCGAAGATACGGAGCTAAATATGTAAAAAATGGCAGTTTTTGAGAGAACTAAGCGTCCGATTTAAATGATTCAAAGAACTTTCTGCTTGTCTTAACAAAATAATTGATTTTGGAAAAAAAATTGTTTTTTTTTTCAAAAAAAAATTTTTTTTTGTATATCGAAAATAATTCAGATTTTATTTTTAATTCTGACTATAGTTCTAATATATTTTAAACAAATAATTTCAACTTTGAAATTCAGTTTATTTAATTCTTATAAATATTAGACAATGTTAAAATATTATTTTTTTTTTTAATTTCAATAATTATTACAAGTGTTAAATAATTAACATCTAGTAATATTGATAAATAATAACATAAATTTAAATAAATAAGAGTGCAAAGGATAGAATTTACATGAAAATAATATCCGTAATATGATGATTTAATATAAAATAGAAGCAAATAATAATAAAAATAAAATTAATGAATAATATAAATAAAATTTCTGATTTTTATGTTACAATATTAATAATAATCTATTTGAAAACATTCAGTATTCCTCGAACATTTCGTTACGGTACGGGAAGTTCCTGCAATTTGCCTTAAGGCACGATGCAATACACCCCACTAGTTAGTAAACTTATTTTGAAAAGACGAAAAAACTTTAAGAAAAACCACAGAGCTTTGGCAATTAAAGGCGTTTCAATGTATTTATATAAAAAAAAATTTGCTTGTTACGGAAACTTGTATGTCGTCAACGCACCGCTCACTGCCTGCGGCCTGCTTCGACCCTGTCGAAATCTTTGTATCCTTGGCAACGCACATGGTATAAGTCCAAGGCGCAAACCGACGATCACGTGGTCTGTACTGTTTGATTGTTACCATGCCGCTGGTGATCTGTCACTTGTCAAATTACCTTTGCTGAAATGTGGTCGCATTTGGTGAAATCGTAAACGGAAAACTGGTCGTTCGAGAAGTAATCCACAAGTTAATGAACGGTTTGATACTGTCGCAGGTGAATAATATCATAAGCCCAAAGTAAATAAACGTGGAATATTTATGAATTAATACTCAAGTCTAGATATCAGGTATTTAAATAATTTATATTCTTTTAGAATGATGCCATTCGTTTATAAGATTTTAAGATCTAAGAGTAAAGTAAATAAGTTTTTGGCTCTAGAATATTCGACCAGAATTCTGTACGTTTAATTTTTTCACTATACTCATTAATAAATAAATTTTCAATAAATATTGCACCTGATTAAATTTACAAATTACAGAATGTCTCATGAAAATCACCCTGTTTTGTTGAGGGTTTTGGCCCATTCAGTTGCAATAGCTGACATGGCTGGCACATTAATCAGAAATGTGTTAAAAGCAGGAGAATTAGGAGTCGTACATAAGGTATAATTTTATTCATATCTATTGTTTTCTTTTTAGTTGTATTTTTTACATTATCTAGGGTAAAGATGATCCACAAACAGAGGCTGATCGTTCAGCACAAAGGTGTATAATGGCATCATTATTGAAATCATTTCCTGATCTGACTGTTATAGGAGAAGAGGGTCAATTAAACTTGAATGTAAGATGTCTTAATTAACTTCATTCTTATAAAAAACAATATTTATAGAGGTATGTTTCACAGATACCTGAAGAATGGATAGTGACAAAAGGCGCTCAGGATGTTTTAGAAAGAAAGTGTCTGCCAGAACATTCCTCAATTCAAGAAAATGATATAGTAGTATGGGTTGATCCACTGGATGGCACTCAAGAATTTACAAAAGGTAAAATATTAATTGCTCGTTTATTTATATATACATATATACATTGTGTTTAATAATAATAATAATAATAATGATAATATATATATATATATATATATATATATATATATATATGTTTAAATCGTGTTAAAAAGTCGGGTGTAACATCAATAAAAATAGTATGAGAGTTTTTTAAAAGTTTAAAATCCATATGTTTTGGCTAGCATCTTAGCCTTCATTCAGTGGTAATCAATTTAACTATAAAAATTAAAACTAAATAAATAATATGCAGAAAAACAATAATAATAATAAAACACTTACAATTTTGTATCCTAATATAACATGAAACCATTATTAATCCATGGTATGAGTATGTGCACATTGATAAAATATATATTTTTTAACATCAGAAAAACACTAATAACCATGATAACTTAACAAGTTGTCGAAACTATGTATTTATTGTTTGGAGTTTAAGATAGAAATGTAACATTTTTTCTTAAAGCAGTTTTTTAGCATGTATTCACATTTACGGGAAATTTAAAAAGCGATGGGATCTTGTCATTTTTTAAGAAATTTTGACATGCTATTAAGGAACCATGTGTTAGTCTCGTTATATAATTGTAAAAACAACCCCTCAGCGAATTTTTTTTTAATTATGTTCTCTTCAAAATGTAAAATTTTAGAATTGAAAAAAGTATATTATGGTTTAATTTAATGTGCTCAGTTAACATCGTCTTAAATTGCTTCGGATTTTTTGAGTTATTTTTATGTTGGTGAAAGCGTTTACTCAGGTTTTGGCCAGTTTCTCCGATATAAAAAAGTTCGCAATTAGAGCAATTAATCTGGTATACCAAGTTCCTGAGGCGGTCAGAATTAAACTTAGATTTAATTTGTGTAAAAATTGAATTAAGGGTTGTATTGCAATTACATAACAACAAAATGCCACATTGTTGAAACAGTTTTTTCCACGAAGAAAAAAAATATATATATATATATAATATATATACAAGTTTATATTTTACCTGTGTTTCATAGTTGTGAACATTTTTTTGTGTTTTTTAGTATAGTTTACATTTTGTTTGTTTGTTTGTTTATTTGTTCAACCTTAGCTTTTCGTTCTCCCTTTTTTCTTTTTTACAATATAAATGTTTTCAATTTTCTTCGATGGCGATTTTGTCACTTTCTTGATTCAGAATCCTCTCCAAAATAATTCAAGTATTTTAATTGATATTTACTATACAGCAAATAGGATGATTTATAAGATTTGAATATAATAAATTTTTGAAGGTAGAAGGTTACTGCCATATTAAATACTAAAGAAATAACAGTATTATGATTGTTTCATTAAAGGTAATTTGGATAATGTAACAGTACTAATAGGAATAGCAGTTGACGGTAAAGCTATTGCAGGAGTGATTCATCAACCATTTTTTGAGAATAGCAAAGGTCGCACAATTTGGGGTTTGAGAGGAATAGGCTTCAGTGGCATTACTTTAAGCAATCGTCTACAGAACAGGTATATCACCTTCAGACTTTCATGCTTATAACGATAGACACATTTACAGGTTTTTTTTTCAGATTAGTAATTACCACTTCACGGTCTCACACTGACTCTAATGTGATAGCAGCAATAAACGAATTACAACCAGACAAAGTCTTACATGTCGGAGGTGCAGGATTCAAGGTAGATTTTAATACATATTGTGTTTTTTATTTTTTATCACATATTTCTGTATTTATATGAAATTTCAATGATACGAAGCTAAAAACTTTTTTCAATATTGCAATTGCACAATGGAATTAAATTAAGCTTTAACACAGATGTTGACTTGATAATAATGTTTGTCAAATGATATTTTTGAAAAATGCCATAATTTTCAGGTATAAACATATTTGATTATAATAGCCATCAGATACTATTTTATACATGATATGGCAAATGATATTAGCCATTGTGATTAAAATCTGAATCAATAAGGTTTTAGGTGAAAGAAATATTCTAATTCAAAGACATATGTAAGATATATTAGTATAAAGGTCATATAGTCCACAAACTTTTTTTTCTTGTTATATGAAAAGAGTTTATTTCAACACACATTCACAATCATTTCTTGCATTTTGGTTGTAACTTGAATATATTTAATACATTTTATGCTCTTTTATATTTACTAGGTCATACAGTTACTTGATGGAAGCGCAAATGCGTATGTATTTGCTAGTCCAGGGTGTAAGAAATGGGATACCTGCGCACCTGAAGCTATATTAGAAATAGCAGGAGGAATGCTGACTGATGTTTTCGGGAACAAATATGTTTATGACAAAGATGTTCAATATCCTAACTCTAAGGGTGTAATTGCTACAGCACCTTGTTTGAACCACACCGATCTTATCAATAAAATGTCCCAGGAAATAAAATCTAAATTAATGAATTAGCTAATAATGATGTAATATAACTAAATATATATTATATATATATACTTGCAAATTTTGTTGAATATTTTGTTTCAATATACGTTTACTGTTATCAAAAATGATTGAATCTTGACAATCCATTAACATTCTCATTGTTTTAAGATTGCAGGTTGTTTTCTTAAACATATTTTTCAAGTTATTAAACCAGAACAGTATAGATCAAAATAAATTAAAATTGAATTGAATTTCAAATGGCCTTTGAGATTACTAATAACTTACATCAAATGCTCAATCTGAAAAATTTTGTAATGCATATGGTTTTTGCTCTTTTACCCTGTATTAAAACTAATTAAATTTAATTAATACTATTTCAAATATTTGTGCAAAATCTTCTATTTTTGATCATCTCAATTACTACCAATGAAGGAATTTTCAGATTTCAGAAAGAGCATGTCCAATACGTTGAAAAAGAAATCAATTTCGTTGAAAAATCATCAATTTTATTAATACTTCAGTTTAGTTTTAATTTGTATTTTTCAATACATTTTCAATTTTTCTATAGATAGTTTTAGGTAAATTGTGAGTAATTTCTTGATAATTTTAATGAAACTTTGTGTAATGATCAAGTTCATGGTCATAGTGAACATCCTAAAACATTGCAGACTAAATAAAATAAATATATAAATTCAAATATAAAATAATACATAAATGTTAAACATATTAGTATAATTTTTTTTTTTTTATTTCATCACTCAGTTTTTTACAAATAATATGTGATAATCTATTGACGATACATTTTACAAAGAAAACGCAACTGCAACATTTCTACTTGGTCTTTCATTCTGATAACTCCATCAGGACCATCAGATGACAACAATATCCCTACCGATTCACGATGTACGCCCATTATAACCTTGACATAATCATTAATTGCAGGTTGAACTGGTTCTAAATGATCACATTCTATATTCACAGAACGATCTTCAGCTGGCAAAAACACTGTGCACATTCCTCCTTGTAACCCTTTGATGACACCAGTTTGATTAGCTAGTCCTCTGTCTGGATGACTATCGCTAATGCGAACCTCAATATCTGTTGTATGCCAGTCAGACCCAGAAAGTGAATCCAAACTAGCTCCAGGAGTTTGTGGATTATATGGTGATTGCGGTGCACCTGCTGGGGTACCAGGTGAGTATGATGTCGGTGAGGGTGTGCCCATATACGTGCTGGCTTGATACCCTGAAGGGCTTGGGCTTGGTTGATATGGACTATAACTATCAGATCCATACATGATTGATCCTGGTGTTTGGGGAGTATAAGGACCTGATTGATATACGCCTGGAGTATTAGGATTGAAAGGACTGGGAGAACTCTCGTCCAAATAAGAAGATTCAAAATCATTACTTCGAGCAGGTGTATTTGTAATATTAGCATCCCATGCTCCTTGTCCAGGTGTTTGACTTCCATCGTGTGAAGGTGTCATAGAACCATAGTGGGGAGTTCGAGATCCAGAGTTGTATACAGGAGTATATGAACCAAGCATTGGTGTACGACCTTCTCTATTATATTGTGGAGTTTGAAAGCCATAAGCAGGTGTGCGACCAGGTGTACGGCCATATGTGGAAAATCCACCTTCCTTTGCAGGTGCTCCAACTTTTGCAATGTGTCCTCTATCGACTGATATGGTCTGACATGAAGCATGCAATTCAACACGAGCAGTACTTTCAGTTGCATCTTTGACAATTCCAACATTGCCTTTGTAAGGTCCACCAGTAATTTTAATAGTTGTACCAATTATATCCCGGTCTCTAGTGACTCTATTAGCACCTCCGCGTCCTCTTCCGCGACCACCCCCTCCGCCACCTCTTCCAGATGGATGCATTGGAGACTGTATTCTAGGTGACATAAAACCTAAGCCATTCAATCCTGTTGCATTGGCATTACTATGACGTGCTCCACCTGCTAATTGTACATGTCTTGTTTTGCATACAAAAATACCACCATTATCTAAATACATTCTTGAATATAGAAAAACATAATTTCTGTACAAATGTTTTATTTCACCATCTCGACCAGCATGTGGGCCATCACACACCTTCACTATGTCTCTCTTTGATATGCTATTTTGATCAGTATCTAATGCAACTGTAAAACGATTTTCTTTTCGTTTTTGTAGAGCTTGCGGTTTGCATTCCATCAATTTTCCATTCATTCCTAATACATGAAAGTTTTCTCTTTCTAATCGAACAATTACTCCTACATTCATAGCATCCAACTGCACTAAATCACCCCATTGAAACTGCCCTAATGAATCAACACCAGTAGCCATATCTGAGCACAGCTGTAAATCTCTTGGAAGAACTTCTAATTCATGCATTGTCAAATCAGATACCAAAACAACCCTTGTAGTATCCACACGAACTATAAGCCCTGTTTCCCCTTCATAACGACCAGCCAAAACTTTCACATGATCACCTGTTTTAAAAAACTTTCTTAATTCATTAGCTTTGAAAATTAAGGGATCCGTTAGTTCAGAATGTTTTGGTAGAACTGTAATCATAGAACCATCGATAGCAATAATTTTACATGGTAAGTTCTCCAAGTCACCCACAGCCACCTCAACATTATCGCCCATGGAAAATGAGTGCAAACTGTTGGGATCATCTTTAGAAGGAGCTGCTAATTCAATATCAATACCCTCGGGTTGCTCTTCAAATCGCTCCAATTCAGAAAGTGTAGGCTTAACACCTTCAGCAAGAATCGCAGACATTGTAAAATTTTTAAACATAAAACCTTTTCGTGAAAAACGATTTCCTTCAAATATTAAAAAATCACCATCTGATGTAACTTCACCACCAATAGCTCTAATAGCTTCAGGATCAAAAGGTTTTGCAACCGGCCTTCTTTTCTTTTTCCGTTTTGCAGCCTCTGAATCACTTTGCACAGTACGTAGAGCACCTCGCAATCTAGTATAATCAATCCTAGGCAATAATTTCAAATGCACATTGTTCTGAGCCAAATCTATATAGTCCACCTGTGCTATGTCATCCTTATACAACCCTCGCTTTAGTCTAACCCACTGCTTAGGTTTCAATCCTGTTTGCTCTCTGACAACTCTCAAGACATCCGTCATTTCTTTAATAGGAACCATTTCTTGTTTCCAAGTGCCCATTCTCAAATTCCCAACATTATCGATAGCTGCTTTTACATGAGTCTGTTTATAAGATTCTATGTAAATGTAACCTTTTACTCCTTCTGGAGCAATTACAGATTTTATCTGCAATGGTGCATCACTATTTTGGTAGGCAATAAACTTACGCATAAGTAATAAAACTGTAGCCTTTTCTTCGCCAATTCGACATTTAACCATCCATAAATTGGGATCTTTAATTCCTGGCAGAAGAGTTTGCTGAGTTATTTCATCAGACATTTCCTCACCTCCGTCACCAAAAGAACGAACCGCAAGTGTTTCATCAGCATATTTCTTCTTCAAATATTCTTCAATCTCGTCCTCTTTCTGTGAATCCCACAAATTAGTTCCTCGTCGCCTTCCTTCAATCTCACGGGCTGTAGGACCTAATTCATCAACTTCATTCCCAACAATACCCATTTCTTGAGCTCCTTCTTCCCACTCATCATCTTCATCAACTTCATCATCCACTTCAGCTTCGTCTATAATAAATCCACTAAATCTATCCTTCTTTTTTTTCTTTCGAGGTCTATCATCATCTTCATCCTCTTCCTCTTCTTCATCATATTCTTCTGAATCTAAATCTTCTCCTTCAGGTTCTTGTTCATCCGCTACTTCTTCATCACCGGATGCTTCCCTAGCCTCATCATCACGGTTTCCATTCCTATTATGTTCCACATCAGAACCTGAGCCTGAATTTGAATGAGATGATCTTGAACGAGATCTACTTCTTGAAATCGATCTAGAGATTGATCTTGACCTCTTTTTCCTTTTTGAATGATTAGATTCGACACTGCCCACTTCTGAACCTGAGTCAGAGTAATGACTTTCTTCTGAATCAGACATTTTGGTCTTTTTTTTCGATTACACAAATAAGTTGTGTAAAGTGTCCTTTATTTATTTCTTTTTGAATTACTCTTACCTGCCATAAAATAAAAAAATATCACTGTTTAAATATCAGTGTTTATCATATTATTTTTAATATATAACATAATGTTAATGAAACTTAATTTTTAGTTTCATATATAAACAATTACCTCAAAATTAATTGCAAACTGCGTTAATTCATACAAAATAATAAACTTAATTTATTTATATAAATCATAAACTTAATTTATTATAATAATGCAACATTCATGCAAATAATATATAAATGATTTCAAAAAATTACCAATGTATTTAAACGAAATTTTGTTTGATCAGCATGGATTCATGTCATTCATTCGTAAAAACTTATATTCGTTATAACGAATTCCATAATTAAACAGAGTTCAAACACATTACCTAAGTTAAAAAATATGTTGTTCAACGCTTAATCGAAACAAATTTTATTTTTCTAACATTTGACAATTACTAAGAAACTATAAAATCAACCATTCAATAAAGCCGATGACGTTTGCCGTAGCAAACAATTCCTGGGATATGAAACCGCGTAAAATGAAATCTTTAAGTTATGGCCGACGCCCGAGTAGTGTCGCAACGATAGCCAACAAAACATAAAACCATAGATAAAAGAAGAGTATCATAAAGAGTAGCATAAAGAAGAGTATATGCATAAAACCTAAATTCATAGATAAAAGAAGAATAGAGCCTAAATTATATTACTTATATTACCTAAATTATGTTTACTTATCTATGCTTATATATATATATATGATTTAGTAGTTAATTTTGATGTTGAAATATATGAGTGAGTTCTTGAGGGCGATACATCAAACAAAGAAAAGCCAAAGATTTATAAAATAATTTTTATTTCCAAACGTTTCGACATTCAATTTAATGTCATCATCAGTGGATATTACGTTGGTTAGTTACATATAACTAAATATTCTCTAAAATTATAACTAAACCAGTTACGTAATATTACGTAATTTTTATGTAAGAAATATGTAATCTACATTACGTAATTAGATAATACGAAAGAATTACATAAATATTACGTAATTTTCCTGAAAAAAATATTACGTAAATAAATGAAGATTTTATTTCATATATATTACATAAACTAGGCAAATGTTGGAACTTCCCGTACTAATAATTATTTTGTTTTAAAAAGATTAACATTTTTGAAATAAAATTACTTTGAAAAATTAGATTTTTGAGACTATAAAATTTTGACAAAAAATTACCTTTTTTGAAAAAAAGACTTTTGAAAAAAAAATTTTTTTGAAAATTCTAAACTTTTTTTTTCAAAGTAATCGTACTGCATTAACTGCATAGAGACGAAATAAAAATGGCTCGCGAATTTTCAAAAAATTAGATTTTTGAGAAACTATAAAATTTTGACAAAAAATTACCTTTTTTGAAAAAAAAGACTTTTTAAAAACAAATATTTTGAAAATTCTAAACTTTTTTTCAAAGTAATCGTACTGCATTAACTGCATAGAGACGAAATAAAAATGGCTCGAGAATTTTCGGAACATTTCGTTTCATGAACGAAGCTGTCAACCAATGAACGGCGCTAAGCTAAGTGACATAAATACCGTTATGTCTGCAAGGAGACTGCCGTGCCGAGGCCGCTGGCTGCGGCTACTACTAGGCAAAGATTATGGGGATTACGATTCGCCATGCGTTTTTAATTAAGTTTTGTGTTTTGTAGTGTCCTTATCAATATTTTTAATTTGCTAATTAAATGTTAAATATGTGAAGATATGTTTGTTAAAATGTATTCTAAGCCTCTTAAATTACATGAATTACTTAAATCTTTACTCTAAAACGCTCCATTAACCTAAAAATTAATCGTGTGTGTTATTAATTTTGTTTCTAATAATAATTAGATATATAAAGAACACTTTGTTTCAAATGTAACGGTATTCATATTCTAAATACTATTTTATTGTTAATATAAATTCAGTGACAAATTATATATAACAGAATTACTTGGCCTTTTGAAAACCATTGCTTTGTGTAAGTATGTAAAAAATATGTATCAAAAGTTAAATAGAAATTATTACCATGTTTTTTATTTCAGGGAAAAATCGAAAGCTATAATATTTATATCCGAGATGCATTTTTTCATCACAAATGGGCCATGAAATAGATATCGAGAATGCTTTGTAGAGAAGACATCATAGACTTATACCACATTTAGTTTTTAACAGAAGATACAGTTCCTAATTACGTAATATTTCCATGAAATAGTTAATGAAAGAACTTATGAAGACTTTGTAAAGGATACTTCGATGATTTTTATTTCGAGTTTAATTTAAAATTAGCAGTTTCTTACTTATCATTTATCATATTGTATATTTTTCCATTTGCCATTAAAAAATGTTGATCAATATGTCATATGTAATTACATTATTTCATAAAAATTGTGAATTATTATTTATACTTTATAGATTTTCTAATGTTAAAATTGTGTATAATGCCAAAAAAATAAACATGCCATATAAATGTGCTTTTTCTTTCATTTTTCAGATATGTATATATATTATATATAATATATATATATATATATAATATGTATATATATATATGTGTGTGTGTGTGTGATATGTATGCGTGTGTGTGTACATAAATATTATATATGTATGTACATTCTGTGTGTGTTATACTCATTTCTATGTTCATGAATGTGTGTGTTCATATATACACATATGTGTATGCGTGTGTTCATATTATACACATATGTGTGTATGTGTGTGTTCATATTATAAGCGATGATGTGTGTGTATATTTATGTATGTGTGTAAAAAGAGAACCCCTCCACGTCATTTTTTTTTTCAAAAATTACGTAATTATTATGAAATATTTTCGTAATCCTATTACGTAATTCACATTACTTAAAATAGGCGAAATTATGACACATATCTTACATTAATCTTACGTAAAATGACATATATCATTTTTTTTGCGTAAAAATTACATAAATATTACGTATTTTGGCTTAGCGGGTATAGAGAAGTGTACACAGCACTAGAGATTTGGCACTAACATTATAACACTACTTGTCAGCACTATGCATTTTTTTATATAATTTTTTTGTATGATGTAAACAGAAAAATGATAGTTTTTATGAACAAAAATGTAAGTAGAATTATGTAATTTCTGCCACGACTTCTGTACTTTGCTAGTACCGAGGCATGTATGATACATGCCTCGGCATGCCTCGGTATGGAAATAAAAATATTTTATAAATCTTTGGCTTTTCTTTGTTTGATGTATCGCCCTCAAGAACTCACTCATATATATATATATATATATATATATATATATATATATATATATATTGTTTTCCATCTATGGTGCGATGGTGCGTGCCTATATAAGGTCTATATAAGACACGTACATAAGGTCTATGGTGCTTTACCATTAGTTCATAGATAACTCACTGGATGAGATACAAAAGTGATGTCATAACGACGGAAAGCCATAGAGTAAAAAAACTATTTGTATTATCAGTCTATATTAATGTCAGGTACAGTACAATGAAGAGAAACGTGATCAAGCAGCGTGGTTTGGATTGTCACGAATAGATTACTAAATTCAATTTTTATTTTAAATTATGTGATATAATCAAGTCACAAATGAACAATTTTATATAATAATATCATTTGAAAATTTTGGTGAATGGGTGAAACATAAATCTATAATTTGTAAGCTTGTGCCTTTTGTATGTACGCGTACTTTCTAAAGTGGCAATTTTAATAATAATTTAATAATAAATAGATATTTATAAATATACGTAAATAATGAGTGATGACGATCGTGACATAGATATTGAAAGTGATGTAAGTATGCTACCACATGCTGTTTCCTATTTTCTTGAATTTAGTGCATAATGTGTCATTTCAGGATGCTGATGACTCGGATTCTCGATTACCAGGGCGCAATGCTGGAACTATATATTATTCACAGGTATATAATATTAATTATATACCTTATATTATATATATTTCATTATTACATCACAATATAATATCTGATATTGATGTCTGTAGTTGTGATTTAATTATTAAATATGACCATAATTCATCAAAGGAAATAATTAATTCATTAATTTGAGAACTCAATAAATGCAGTTATGTTTATTCATAATGATTCATTATTGTTTTTTATATTCCGATACTGTCATAGAAACAGTTTGGAACTTATTGCTTATTAAATTTATGAGAAAAACTGACAGCTTCGAAGAACTTTGAGTATAGGCTATATTCAAAGGCAAATAATAGCCTTTATTTTTATTATCGCTTTGTTTTTTTTATTTTATTTTTATTTTTTATTTTTTGTGCAATAAATGCATCTCCATATCTCAGTCAGAAGGTATAAGAGATTATGGATTGCTTCATGACTTGTTATGTTTTTGATTACAGTGACACTTTTTGTATTTATTTTTATCTAATTTTTTAATAAAATCGAAGTGCTGAATTTGAATATAGATCATTAGGAGAACTGCATTAACTCATTCTAGTCATAAATTTTTGTGTACAGTGTTGAACAGAAAATATCATTCTAGTTCTATTTTGAATTCGAGTCCTAAATGCTTCTCACTATAAGTAGATTGCTAATATAAACTGTTTTCTTGTGGAATTACATATACTCTTAATGAATATTTTTTTTATTGCAGGCAGAAAAGAGAGCTCATCATATGCTTTTGGAGAAAGCGCAGGGATCACATAAAAGACAGCTTCACTTCACTAAGGGACTCTGTCCCAGCTTTACAAGGAGAAAAAGTTGTGAGTTCTGACAAATATGTCATGTTTATATTTCAAAACTATGAATGGTTTTAAAATTGTTTTGTATAAAAGAAACCTGTTATATGTAATTTTTATTTACAGGCAAGCCGAGCACAAATACTCAAAAAGGCAGCAGAGTATATTCATTTTATGAGGAAAAAAAATAATTGCACCAGCAAGATTTGATGATCTCAAGAGGCAAAATATATTTAGAGCAACAAAGTAATGTTTGATATTACTAATAAATAATTTGATAAACCAATTTAATAATTTGATAAACTAATAAGAGTTTCATACTACATGATTAGCAAATATTATGAGCATAAAATCATGGGTGTTGATACAAATATCAAAATTACTATAAATCTAAGTGCTTATTTTTATTAATATCTAATTAACTGTGATATTGTTTTAATATTCATAATACATTTTTTTATTGAAGCATTAGCTAATGCATAAAATGTGTAATAGTGTTTCACAAATTATTTTTCACGAGATACGTTAGAAAACGATAATTGTGCATTAGTTCTTGGAAAAGTGGCAAATGTGCTTATTATGTTATCAATGTATCTATGTTAT